TTGTTCCTAGGCACTTATTGCAAGCTTAGCCTATCTTCATTTATGCCTAGTTGACTCATTGACAGCATGAATGTTTGCAATGTGCTATTTGCATTGCTTTTGCATCATTTTGGACAAAAGCATATGCTAAATATGTAAATGTAATATGTAAATGAAAATAATGACTTGTTCTTGGTCTGCGTGAGTTACCCATTGTGCCCTCGCTCTTGTCGGGACTCTTCACTTTGCTCTTCATTCCTGAAATACCGCAGTTGCTTGATGGCACATTCGCCTACAAATGCCAAAGGTCTTGGGAGAATTTTGGACATTGTTTGTTTTTAGGGATTTCTTTCTCTATAAAAATGCCTAAAACGGGAAACAATGTTTGCTTTCCTTGTATATTATTCCCCTTCTAAAACCTGCTCTTTGATTTTGCGAATGAGAGTCGTCTTAAGAAAAATGATGCAGTTGCATGCGTACCTGAATCGGCGGAGCTCCGTGACGAGGGAGCAACTGAGCGCATTGAAAATCACATTCGAAGGAAAGCTGGAGGCTCCCATAACTGTTTAAAGTACAAGACGGTGGGCAAAGCTCATTTTCCTCTTTTTACTTCTCTTTTTCCAGCCTCTGGAGCAAGAATGGCAGCCGTGGCCACCTGTTCAAGTAGCTGACTCCACAGTTGCTGACTTTAAACATCGGCAGCTCCTTGTGCATATTCCCTGCTCTGCCTCCATGGTAAAAACTCTCACCCTACACATGTTTTAGTCTATCTAAGCAAAGCTTCCTGTTTATATTTGCATATTTGCTAGCTCAAAACACAGCACTGAAGCCTCACATCTCCAAAGCTGGGGGATGGGGGCTCTGTGTGAGTTTGCATGTACTCCCTGTGTCCAGGTACATCAGTCTCTCCTGCAGTCCAAAGACATCAGTCTCCTGCAGGACAACAATCTGCAACAGGTTAAAATGCAAGACAAGTTGAATTGGATGACTAGCAAATATTGTTTTATGAAACAGCAAATGTTTCTTGGCTGAATGAGCGCATTCCACTTTACTTTTGTAAAGGACACTTTTGTAAGGACAAAGTGCTACCTGTCTAAATCATTCAGTGTCTGTCTCCTTTCAACTATGCATTTCTCAGAAACTGCACATGATTCAAAAGGAAGGGCAGAGTTATTAACACGCTGTTAGATATGGGGACATTTGCTTCACTGTTCTGTGTAAAGTGCACTGATAAGAACCTGCATTGAGTATAGCATTGTGTCAACTTGCATTCACATTTGGGACTGGGACTACCAGGCAGGTGTATTTGTGGGTCTCTTGACATTGTAGCAGTCCAGCACATATACATTATTGTACACATACTGTATTACAAGGTAGATGTGGACAGTGGGTCATTATACGGCTGGCAGTGCTGCCCATTCTCCTGCGCCTGTTACGCTAAGCAACACACCCGCTAACACCCTACTACATCTCTTGTTCATATTAGTTACTCTGGCCCTTGGACATAAATGCGATCAGATGTTACTCGATTAGGCGTAACTTAACGTAATTATCAACAATTTATTCTTTTACTGAATGGTTTTACCCAGAGTGCCTTGTGGTTACTAAAGCAGGCATTGGTGGGGTGAAAATGGTGTATTTGGTAAAATGGTCAGTAGGTGATACCATTAGAGTAGGCAGGGCGGGATTCTGCTACCTTTCAGATAGATTGTAAATAGTGCTACAATTTCCCAATGCTTTCCTGATGCTCATGTTAATATAGGTTAAATAATATGCAGGGCTCTGTAAACACAGGAGCAGCTCAAGTAAATAACTGAGGACTGAGGATAGGCACACTGGGAGCCTTGTAGACCAGCACCACTGTCTCAAGCTGGCCCTAAGCTGTAATTTGCTGTTCAGTGGGGGCGTGTTATGGAGGCAGATGTGGGTGTTTTCAGAAGGCAATATCTGAAATGGCCATACAGAGTAAGAGTTGCTGCAACATAAGGGGCCTCAAACAGCAACTGGACTGTGAAGACGAAGGTCTGCTGGTTAGCTCTGTATTTTTTGCGATGTGTAATTTATGTGATGAGGACAGCTTGATCTTTCCACAGCGGCTGCGTACCATGCATATCCAGCCTTTCGCCTCCCAGTTCTCAGTGCACCGACTACGGCACGGCGCAACCTATTTTCACGTTTCTTAAGAACACGTTTTTAACAATAAACCGTATATATTTAAAATGACTGTGCCTATCTGCAAAAGGTTTAGCTAATTCATTGTGATTACAGTGAATTTGTTTTTAATTGCTGAAAACTGAACTTGACTATAACGTGGAAATTAAAAATACGGTAAACTGACGGTCTATTTGCAGTGCAATTCTGAATTCCTTACAGTACATGGGAACAATTAGTTGTCACCCGTGTGCGCAAAACAGCAATGAACCACTACTAACTGTCACACAAATAATTAAGTAGAATCCTAATCATGAGCGCAGGATGCGTTTTATCAACTCACGGTATTTCACAGTGATTACACGCAAATATTTCTGAAATTTCACATACAAAAAATTGTATATTTTCGTGACAAGGGGGTGCGTATGCACCTTATCTGCAATGCATGAGTATGCCACTGCTTTTATCTAACATGAACTTCCCTGAGCATGGTCCCAAGTTTAAATAGTTCATTATGACCCTATTCTAAAGCAAAGAACCGGGCTGCCTCATGAATCATATGTACGGCCCGCAGAAGCACAGGCCAAATCCTCTCAGCACAAATAATTCCATAAATCACGATAATGTCATCTTGATTACAAACAGTGTTATCTTGTTTTTCTGACAAATTATATGTATGAAGATTCTTGTCAGGTTCTGCAAATTGAATTTTCTCACTTGACGATGAAAGAGAACAACACAAAGACCTGCAAGGTTCCCGTCACCTAATCTCTGCCGCTTTTCTCACGGCTCAGGTACAGAACAAACCCACAAGCTGCACCCAATGGGTGTGGGCTGTGTTTGTAATTAAGCCACACCAATTTTATTGTGGAAGGTCAATTTAAATCAAGAGGACAGATTTAGTTAGATGTTCTATCGCAATGTTTCTCGACCCCAGTCCTCGGTTCCTGCCAGACAGGCCACATTTTTGCACCCTTCCTGCTCCCAACACACCTGAACCAAACAATCAAGCAAGCAATCTAGACCACTGAATACCTGGTACAGGCATATAGGGAGCTGGGAGAGAGTAAAAACGTGGGCTGCCTGATGGTCCCCAAGGACAGGCTTGAGAGACACTGTTCTATGGGATGCCTTTGTCCCTGAAGCAGGTGTTCGTAAAGTAATGAGGCAGATCTGACCTGGACCATGGCTCAGAAAGCTTTGAAATTACAAGACAAGTCACTGGGAGAAAAGAAGAGGAGAGAAAGACTTGTGCTGGGAAAACACACCATGCTCCTTAGAGGCAGCATGCAGGAGTTACAGTGCAGACCTTCTTGTACCTGATTGTTTTAGACCATGTTAGGCCTATTTGTAGAAATGCTGGTCTACCTCTACATCTCTATTTAGCATCTATGTCCGCATGCGGGGTCAGGAAGTACTGCAAAACATTATAAAAAGCATCAATTTTCTCAGTTTTGGTAAAGAGATTAGCACAGTTATCCTAGTATATAACAGAATGTTTAATATCCCTCACAGATTTTCTAGTCTGCCTGACAAAATATCTACTAAAATTTATTTTTAAGCATGTCTTATGGCATTTTGCAGTTAGAGGCATTCCAGCTGTTTAGGACCAGGGGAAACTGGAATCTCCTTAGTCTTGGAGAACTCTTGAAGATCCGGGTGACAAGCTGTCATCACTTATGGGCAGCGCCAGAAGGGATTAGTGTAAGTTACGGGTTTTTTTAGACGGTGTTTCATCTGGAGACGATGACCCCCCCCCCACCCTTCCCCAAAGAAAACAAACACTGCTGCTGACTCCTTGATGTGCTCTTGTATCGGTGCCCCGTGGCTGAAACTGTCGTGTTTTTATTCATTACCTTACAACAAATTCCTCAGGATACTTCTGGACTGTAATAGTAGGCATGAAAGAGTGGAACCAATAACCAAGTAACTCCTCTAAGAACGACTAAAAATCCCTGCCTGGCCTCATTCTAGTAGTGGGAACATGGAAATTGCTTTCCACTTTCATATTAATAATAGGGTTTTATTAATATTTATGTTAGCTTTTAGCCCCAAGTAAGGACTCCACTAAGCAAAATATGGACAAACTCAACTTTCAGTAAGCAAGCAAAAGTCTTTGGTTAGGAAAGACTTTGTTCTGGGGTCCGTCAAACATTTAGGCCAGTTGGCTCTTTTCATCTCCAAGGTGTGCAGAGTATCGGGTCTCATTAACTCTGGCAAACAGACAAACACTTTGCTCTCGCCACACTACCTCTGGGTGATGTAGCACAGATGATGTCTCACAGAGGAAAGGCTGCAACTAATGAGAGGATGGAGGGCAGAGGGACTACAAGCATAGGAGGGACACCCATGGACAACAGTGAGAGGGAAAAAAACACACAGAAATAGGGCTGCAATATTAAAGCGCACAGTGTCATCGCAAGGAAGACTCCTGCTGCACAAAATGAAGGAGAAATATAACGGAGAGGCAATGCTGGAAGAGTACAGGAAATTACAGGGGAAAATGCATTCTGACACTATACCACCCTCTATCTTAATATACTTAATATATTCATCTTCAGCAACTGATAGATGGATTAAGAGATACTTAGAACCAGGTGGAAGTTCCAATGTACATAAAGCTTGATGATATGGAATGTTTCCCTGCTTATACTGTATCCAGATGGACGGGGGGGGGGGTCACCCAGGTTGCCAAGCAACTGAGTCACAATAACTCTGGTTGTTAACACTTAAAAACACAACAATCGAGTAATAATAATAATAATAACAAAACAACAACAATAATAACAATTAATAAAATAACAAAACAACAACAACAGCAATAATAGTGATAAAACATTAAATTTATAGGCAATGAATTAGATATTCTTTCTTATTTATCCAGTAATTACTTGGAATGAATTGGACAAAGATAGCTGGTCAGTTTTAAAAATAAATTTAAAAGGAGTATTTGCATATATTACAAAATCATATATCTGAATCAACATTATGAAACTATCAAAAGTCTAACCTTTGCGCTATTTTCATCTGACCTAACCAATGGCTGTGAATTGGGGTCCTGCTCTGGATGACATTTCATTGGCCTGAAGGTGCCAAGTCCAAATCTTGCACTAGGCATGAAATGAGTGACGGCTCAGTAGACTCTGATTAAGGTGTCTGGGAACAGTTGTCAGAAACAGGAGATAAACTGTCGGTAATTAAGCGGGAGATCAGTGAAATTCTGGAGTCTAATTTCTTATGTTGTACAATCAATACATCTACAAATTTCCAGAGGAAATTGCTGTGCTCGGGGAGAGGGCTGATCTCTGTGCAGTATTGATTATCGACATAGTCTGTCCTTCAGAGGCTGCATAAGGTCTCCTGGCAAGCCATCGTGCTTTCTGCCATCCCTGATGGTGTCCTTCTGCTGTTCCTGCTTTGAACGAGAGGTGAGGATTTTTATTTTATATTTTGAAGTTGCATCAGAAGATGTAGATCACCAATCCCTCCTGCTGAAGAGTGAAATATAGGAAGAACACTATGGACATTTACATCAGCACATCACCTTGGACATCTACATCAGCACATCACTATGGAAATCTACATCAGCCCGTCACGATGGACATCTACGTCAGCACGTCACCTTGGACATCAACATCAGCACATCACATTGGACATCAGCATCAGCCCGTCACTATGGACATCAACATCATAACATCACTATGGGCATCTACATCAGCCCATCACAATGGACATCTACGTCAGCACATCACCTTGGACATCTATGTCAGCACATCACCTTGGACATCAACATCAGCACATCACCTTGGACATCAAAATCAGCACATCACCTTGGACATCTACATCAGCACATCACCTTGGACATCTACATCAGCATGTCACTATGGACTTCAGCAACAGCAGCATTGTACTTTCATGTGACGCAGTTTATCTTAATGCTATGCTTCGGCTGGTCCTCATCTTTTTGGCTTGGGAAACCGAAATAAAAAAAATGCTATCTATGAAAGCCCATCTAGTACTCGTTGGACTCCACAATTCACGCAAACAGCTATAATTGATTTTGCTCCTGACTGCCCAGTCAGGTAGCTGAAAGCTTGCTTCATGCACATTAACAACACAGCACTATAGATTAAAAACATGAGAAAAACAAAAACAAAAGCCCCAAAACAGCCTGAATCTCAGCAATTGGCAGAAAGGTGTAAAAACCGTAACAGTCATCACCATTACTCAGCTTCTCAAAATAAACGATCCTTTAACATACATATATAAATTACTGCAAAGAGTACATTACCATGCAAAAGAGGCAGTTAGCTCCTTCAAGTTAATAGATGGTCATGCTTAACCAAAAGATGAATTCAAACACTGCATTACAGCCTGGACGTGTTACAGGCTCAGCTGGCTGCAATGTCACCTCAATCCTGCAGGGTCTGGGTTTGAATCACGCCTCTGAGTATTTCTGGTACCACATCCTGTAGTCAAAAGACATGCAGTTAAGTTAATTGGTGTGTATAAATTACCATGGACTGGCATCTCATCCAGGGTGTAGCCCTGCCTTATGGCCAGTGCTGCCTGGGATAAAGTGTAGACCAGGACAGGTGGTTGAGAGATACATGGATCGAAGGTAGTGATCCAAGGAGGGTCAGTCACATGACCATGTGTGATTTGTTGTGTCCCAGGTGGCCATGTGTGATAGGTTGTGTAATTCCAACCATTTGTCTCTCACTGATCTACAATTCTCTTTTTTTTTCCTTCTTCAGCCTCAAAAGCCATATCATTCTATCCAGAAAATTATTATTAAACCGTTGTTGTGACTCTGTACATGCTGATGAATGCATTTTCACCCAGAAGGAGTCACCCTTGGCAGTTGTCGAAACAAAACAAGTGACAATGTTTCCTAAATGTGAGTTCGCCTTCTACACAGAGGCCACCGAATTAGACCTTGGAGCTCTTTGCCACAGCAGAAACATCAGCAAAGCAGGAGGTGAGAGCAGCATAACATTGCCAATGAATGCTAATTAATCTTTTGTGCAACAAAACAGACCTGACTTTGGCCACAGAGAAGGGGCTGCAAATTTATGTATAACAGCAAATCTCTGTTTTTATTTTTAGGGAGTTATTTAATTATATTCTTTCCTCTTGGAAAATGCAGTTTGAGCTGTGTTAATAATAACATCATCATCATCAACAACACCAACAAGAAAAAGAACAACTGCAATAATAATAATAATAATAATAATAATAATAATAATAAAAATAATAATAATAATAATAATCTGTATTATTATTACAGTGGAACCGGCTTACAGTGATCACGGCTATAGTGATAAACCGCTTAAATGGATCAAAAAGCAAGAGACAGGAGCATTCCTATACAAAATTTGAACTATGCAAATTCTTCTTCTTTTTTTTTTTTACTTGACTTACACTGATATGCCTACTTTTCCTAGCGGTAACCCATCTGCTTCTGGCTAGCTACCTGAGGCTAATGCTGCGCGCATAGAAAACATGACAGGGAAAAGAAAGTCATTTTCTGTCAATGACAAATATAGACTCATCGAAGCTTATGATAAACCGCCAAAAACTAGCCGCGGTGAAACTACAATAAGATATATTTTATGCACAGTATTGTACCTTATTGAAGCGCCGAACAGACCGAGGAATCGCCGCGGCGGCGAATAAAAAGGAGCAGAGGCGGAATGACACGACGTTGTTCCTTATGTTAATCCTTAAGCAGGGGTCTCCAACTCCGGTCCTAGAGAGCTACTATCCAGGAGGTTTTCTATCCTACTTGGCTTCTGATGAGCCACACCTGCTCCTGGTATTTACCTGAGAACAGGTGTGGTTCATCAGAAGCCAGATAGGATTGAAAACCGACCTGAAAGTAGCTCTACAGGACCGGAGTTGGAGACCAGCCTTAAAGCGACCGCACAACAAGCGACAATAACATGAAAGCCGTGAATGACAGGGAAACACGGGAAGTCACACTAAGGACAGTAAAGGCACACAAGCGGCAGGAATTACACAATGACTAAGACACGCGAGGATTAGGCAAGAACCGAGCACAACCACAGAAAGGCACACGCGACAACCAGATACACAGCACAAGCACCAACACTAACAAATACAAACAGGGGCTACAGTATATGCGCGCGCAACGCGGGGCATGCAGATACGGCCGGCGCTACAGTATTATAACGTATTTAAATTTCATTTGTACAGTACTGAAATTTGAAAAGCATTTGAAACAGTTGTAGGCCTACTGTACTTTGAAGGAGTCAATAAAATTCTGTAAATAGTGACGCTTGTCCGTTGTATTACCTTATGTTAATTTAATAAATATAAAAATGTTAATTGGATGGTAATTTGCCTGAGACAAAGAAAAACATCAATTGTAATGATTATCCGCTTACAATGATCAATACCACCCAGGGAGACGTGATCCCTATAAGCGGATTCCACTGTATTATTAGGCCTATTATTATTATTATTATTATTATTATTATTATTATTTTATTTTTTTTGTTTTGTCTCCTTTGTCGCCATTAATTGTGACGCAGGCACACGAAAAAAGGCAACGAAAAAAAAATGGTTCCTAGCTGGGGCTGAATGCGTAAAAACATGAAATAAATCTGAGACTGTGTAAGGTATATGTAAAACAAAGCATTTAGCCCGGCCGCCGATGTGTAAAACGCTCCCTTGGGACACCGTCTACCTGGGCTCTCAGACTGACGTTTCTCATTCGCACCTCCCGTCTTCCCACGCCGGTCAGCGGGTCCCAGATGCTGGCCGTGGGAATAAAGGCGAGCTCTGGGGTAATGAGGGAGGGACGGCGAGAGACAGGCCCACAAATTGTCTGTGAAACCCGGATCATTCATCTGCAGGGTTCGGTGCAGAGCTGACAAGCGGGTGTCCTTGTTTTAATAGCAGTTGCTGCCTGACAGCTTTCATGGCACGGAGATGCCGTCCCCCGGAGTTATCCCTTACCAAAGTTAGCTGGCTTACTTCTGTGATTTCCCCGGGAATGCAAAGCTACTCCCTGTGATTGATTTATTCCGTTAACGTTGATGTGGTTTCACACTTTCGTGCCTTGAAATTGTCTTGCTCAAGGTGACACATATGCAGCCTAACAATTATTATAATTTGAAATAAACATCAATGCCGGATGCCTTTATTTTCTTTGTATTTTATTTAAAAAAAAAAAACGTTATCTAGATGAACAATTACATTCCGAGACACCGTAAGCAGCAAAACGGAAATTGGATTTTGTTGAAAAAACAAATTGTTTCAGAGCAAGCGTATCTGCCTTAAAGTTCCAGGATAATTGGTCTACAAGGTATCGATCAGCACTTAGTATAGATAACCTGCTGCAATATATAATTCCTTTAAATGCTTTCGGATGCAAACTATTCATTATTAATTCGTGTTGACATACACGGCGGTTTTAAACCAGTTGTGGCATAAACAAAATGAAAGAGGTTATTTCTGAGGAAGGATGCCTTTTGAATATTTATACGAATTTTCATTTATTTCCATTGAAGCTGTAATGCAAATGGACTTGTGCGGTAATCATGCGTATGAGAGGGGGGTTACCAGACGCGCGGCATCGTCTGATCGTCTTTTCCACCATCTTTTATGCACACCTATTAGCTAAATTGTATTACGGATGGATCTTTCATATTCTGTAACTTCCTCTGAATGACCCAATCAACCCCCTCCATCAGCTTACAAAGAAGTGAAAAATTGCACAAATCGCGCACATGCAAACAGGCAGAAAGGAGGAAGCGCCCTAATAGGATCACAAAGACACAGCTGGCTGATGATCTCAGATCTCTGCTGCTTTTTCGTATGTAAAAGCGGATTCGTCAGGGTGCGTCAGGCAGACGGAAAGTGTGTAATTAAAACACATCATCATTTAAAGTATCAGGTCTCTTTTTATATGCGTGAAGGTTATGATATGCAGCGCATGGTGGTAGCTTGGGCAGCATTCCAGCATTTAAATTTGCTTACGATTTTTGTATTGTTTAGTTGTGTCCTTACTTCGAAATTGCCCTTTGTGTTTGAATGCGTGCATCCGCATGAGAATGGCATCCAATTCTTTGCTAACACGACCTGTGCCGTGGCTCTTCTAATAAATGAATACAGTGTCACCAACTCTAGTCAGCTGGCTGGCTTGAGATTTTCAATTCGAGGCAAGTCTGCACTCAATTCGAGGCAAGTCTGCACACACATTTTGTAAAATGTCTGCAAGGTTTGCAGACTACCCCAACGCTCTTGATGTAGCTAATTTTAGGTTTATAATGGAATAATATACATGTGCCGTAAGATTTCATGCGTGAGTGTGAGAACCTGAAAGCCTGAGTGTCACGCCAAGTGCGTGAGATTTGGCAACCCTGTGAATATCTCTGCATCTTCTCTCTGAAGGTACAGGTGTGTACATCATAATATCTTATAAATTCTTCACTTCGTGTCATATGATCAATATCCTGATGCTGAGTCATTTTCCAATTTGATGGAAGAACCAATTGCCAGTAAGAGTTAGTCCCAGTAAAAGAAGAATTGATAATGATAATAATAATAATAATAATAATAATAATAATAATAAAGCTTTAAAAATAGTTTAATAAACTTTCAGCTACTGAAATATTTAATATGTATGAAATACAAATACATTCCAGTCAGAAATGTATATATGTATATGTAAGAAATATTCTACATTGTAATTTATTTTCCAGGTCACTAAGGTTCTTAGTCAAATTTAATGTTGGCTTTCCAGTGGTAATATTTACCATTTTATCTTTCCTTTCTTCAACCCACATGCAGGAGATTTTTAAGTGCTTTTTACCATGATGATTAATGTATGTGTTCTCCCATTACAACTGTTGAACTCCACTTCTCTTGCAAAGTTGACTTTGGCCTAAAGTCACTTATCCTTTTCCATCCTGCTTATTTTGGACACACTGCCTTGTCCAGGCGGCATCACAATTCTATGATCGACATTCCGTTTACACATGATTGAGAAGTCTGTGCTCATAAATTTACATCCAGGGTTAATATTCATATTTAGCTGTTGACTTCCCTGATATGCAACGACATGTCCTTGGTCTTTTAAGTTCAGCCTTTTCAAAAGATTTGCAAGCTGCCCAAGAAAAGTTGTGATTAATCAGAAATCATGACACTTTGGCCAAATACTGAGTTTATGAGTCATCCGCATATTTCTACTACATGTCTATACACTATACATCTCACAAGTCTTTAGTTTTGCAATTAGGCTTTAAACAATATACTAATGAAAGCAAATGCATCATTCTGTCATTTCAGAAAACAGGACGTGCCTGTAATGTGAAACTCCATATAGCAGCCCGCTCAGTAAATCAGTGCCCATGTATTTAAAGCTGTCTGTTGTCATCACCATCAATACAAGCTGTTGTGTTATGTCATCAGGTTTTTGTGTATATCTCTTTATTTAATTTAGGGCATCATGTAGCCTATAATGTTCTGTGTCATTTATATCCAATAGTTGTTTTTTCCATATATTGATCTGTTTTTTTTCCCCAAATTCTTTAATTAAATTGACTGTATTGATTGTATGATTTTCCACAGTGTATCTGTGGAAATCACCACAAATGCTTTTAATCTGTCTTGGCAATCTTATTACTGCGTTTTTTTACAAGGCCTTTCTATATATAGTGCAGAGTGTGTATATTTATAATAGACACATGTTTTCACACAGACATACACAATGCACTGCACATATTTAAAAAAATAGATGAAAGTTTACTGTAGTTGTGGGGTCATTTGTTTTGGGAAACCACACTATACTGTCCCTGAATGCAGCTCAAGTGCACAAAACAATGTGTGATCACATACAGTGGTATGATATAATAATAGAATATGGTATGATATGTCATAATATAATATGATATAAAGTTTACATAATCAATCTCATTACAAATAATATAATATGATAGTTTATAGCAGTGTTTCTCAAATGGTTGGTTGCGACCATTTTCATTTGGTCATGGAGGGGTTCAAAAATATATATCAGCAAATGTCCCTGCCCCCTGCCCAGTTGACAACTTTGACTCTTTCCATGACAGCAATTTCATCATTGCCACCTTTGAATTTCAATTGTGATTTTCTGACCATGCAATGATGTGGGTACAGAAGGCTAATCCAGTGACAATTGCTATGGTATAATATATAGACTTACGGTATTAAAAAAAAAAAAAAAAGTTCTTGATAAAGTAGTAAACAATGGAAGAATGAGAGACTCACCGTTTCATGAAGTCACGCTTCTCCATAGTCCAGAAAATAAGCTGTTTATCAGTCCATCAATCTTCCAGCTGCTTATTCATTAGAGTATTGTAGGAAACCTGAAGCCTGCCTCACAAGGCATAGGGGATGAGCAGGGCCCACCCTGGATGGAACGCCTGTCCATTACAAGGCAAACATATACAAAGGCTCTGTAGAGAATTAAGACACCTCAAATTTTTCACCACAGTAGGAAACCAAGGTAGCCTGTTATTCAAAGCACCTTTATAGCTTCCCACAAGGCCTCCATACTGCTCTGCCCCAGTGCATGAACTGCATTTTTTATGTGTATTCCAGTGCCACAGGCCACTGGTTGGGTGTTCAGTTTAACTTGAGGTATTTATAGGGCAAAAAGGAAAGTCAATCAAACAAAAGTGTGTCCATGGTCAGGATAAGTGGATAGAAGATGGATTTTTTTTTTTTTAACAAGTGAAGTGT